TGTTGTCATTTCACATTAGTCATTACAAATGAACAGCAGAGCTGAGCATCTATGAGTCACAACCACATTTGGTCTAAAAATTCTCACTTCCCATTTCATGCAAATATTCCGGGAGCTGAGCATCCGCTCCACCCCTACTGGTGTCCCAGGAAAATATACTGGGGTTTGTGGTTATATTCTTTGTTTGAGGAACGGTTCTTCCTCAATTTGAGGCGATACCACATCCCCCTGTTACTGCTTTAGGCTAAGGGAGAAAGACTGCCAGGGGCATGACAAGTTGTTGGAGAAAATGCTGGCTTCTAAGCCATTTTACATGTAATTAATGTAAAATTCACAAGTTAGAGCTGGAGGACATTCCTAGAGGTCCTAACTCTTGCTTCAGGATGCCCTGCAGTCCTGCCTAGAACTTTTCTGCAACACGTGCAGTTTCTGCAGGATTTGGTTACTTCTACTTATTTTTTTAAGGCAAGTCCTAAATTCCAAAGTAAAGGAGCTAAATGATCTTTCCTGCTACCTTAGGAAACTGCCACTGAGGAGGGAAGATAGTTCACAGGTTTTGTTTCTATTCTGTACTTTTAAAAAAAAAAAATCCCCAGGAAACCATAGAATAGAACTTGGTTTTTGTAACACACACTTATTTACAGAACCAGCTATTACTCTTAACATAGTTCACTGCACTGTTAACTTGTGTTAACAAGAAATTAGGATGAAAAAGAGCTGAAAAGGGGAAAAGGTAAAAGTAGAAAAGGTGATTGATACCCACCTTTATGTAAATCAGTTCATGCAACACCATTTGCCTTAGATTTGCATAGGACCAGGCACACCTTATCTCGAGTAGAGTCTTAGCAGGTGGTGTGAGAAGACAGATGAACATCATCAAAAATTTAAACCTACCGAGAAACCAAACGCCTCAGAAAGCAATTTAAGGAGAAGATGTGATAACTGAGTATCAAAGAAAGAAGAGCTTGGCATTTCCTGTTCTCCCCAGCACAGGAAGCTACAGAGCATTCAGCAACTTTCAGAAATAACAAGAATAATTAATATTACATTTTTCTTTGCAGGTCATTAAATTGCAAAACTTTTCACTAGAAGAAATTATACAAACTAAGGTCAACAATACTGAGTTATTCTGATGAGCTAAAATGTCAACGAGCTTTTACAGGTCAAGGTGATCTCTAAAGAGGAAAGGTAGAGTTGCAGCTCAGCTGGGGGCAGGACAGACAACCCACACACCAGGGATTTCTCACGTTTCATCCCAGACCATCCGATTCCAGCCACTCTTCCAGGAGACAGGATGCCAGAGCAGGTGGATGGGCAACAGCCACTGGATGATCCAGCTGGAGTTGGATCCTGCTGCTCTTCCTCCATGGCTGGGCTCTCCTCCTGCAGAACCAATCCATCCCAGACGCGCCGCTAGAAGATGCCACGGTCCTGGTTGCAGAGGCATTTTCCACTCTTTTCTTGTTTCCAGGAAATTAAAACTTTCAAAATACACATTTGGAAGGCTGTAAGATTTCACGTTTGCTCTCCAAGAATAAGTCAGGCTTTTGTGTAAACAAAGTATTTTTGGTAATTAGCAATAATAGTTTGGATGGGGGAAAGGGGAGAGCTTGGAAACTCAAGTGGCTTTTTATTTTGAATAAAAACAAAAGGCACTTAGAAATACAGAAGAAATTGCTAAACTCCAACCTCTGGAGAGATGGTCCAAGCAGCCAATGTTTCAGGAGCTGTGCACACGTGAGGACATCCAGCACACATCCCACCGCTTCCAGTTCTGCTCCTACTCCTGGCTTTCCCTAAGCTCCGCTCCTGATAATAAAAGCAGTACATTCAGCTGCCAAAGAGACAAAGAAAAGCAGAAAGAACTTCTTAGCTACAGATGGCTGCTACACTTTTTTTTTTTTTGCTTCATTAGGTCATGAGGTAATTTTTGGTAACATTTTGTATTCAGAAAAGCTGGAATTTACAGCCTGTAGGATTTTTTGAAAGCATCATATCTACAGAAGTTATTAACAAAATACAGTGCTTTCCTAAATTATGTTCTAAAATTAAAATATTTCGTTGATTTTTTTTTTTAAAACACCTTTTTGAACAATTTAAAAGAATAACATTTCCTACGGCTAGCAGATTACCAAGATGGTTAATTATCACCGACTCTTCCTCATGCTTGAGGGTTCTGGTGCCAGTAAACACTTCACTCAAAAATCCCACAAAGCCTCAAGTGTTTCACAATCAGAGACTTTCTACTCCTGCTGATAAACAGAAGAAAAATTATACTACTTGCTGGCCACACAGTACTTCCTTCCAACACTCTTGACCTTTTTAAAACTTGACCTTTTCTTTTAATGTGAACGTGATTAAGGGTGTAATTGGAGATCTGATGCCTCTAGGATGGTGTTCTCTCAGCATCTGAAAAATCCAATCCACCCACATCTGTAGCTTTAAGGAAATAGAAAACAAAATCATGAAGTTGAACAGGAGCAAGAACAACAAGATTAAAAATTCATCTCCTTTTCTTCTTTTTTTTTTTTTAAAAAAAACAGGTTCTGAAATACGTCAAGGAGTTCTGTCATTTCCTCCATTTACTCTGAAATATGTCAAGGAGTTCTGTCATTTCCTCCATTTACCTTCTATAGAAGTGTGCAACTGCTAAAATTTTGTGCATGGCTGATATTCCAAATTAGGCAGCTCCATCACTTTTCCTAAGGACTTTCAGAGGAAAATAAGTTCTGTGAAGTATCTGATATTTTCTACTAATCAAAATTGTAAAGGAGAAGACATCAAAGGCCCTGCAAGTGGAAATCAGTAAGAATTCTGGATTGGAACGCAAACTGAAGAAACACCTATAAAGTGGTTATTTGAATTTTCATTGCTCTTGTAATCATCTCTTTCACATGGCACTAATCACATGAGAATTCTCTTGCCAGACTCAAACAAGTAGGACACCTTTGGATTTTTCATGAAAAGGCATCATCAGTAGCTTGCAAGGAAAAATAAAGTGTTCTGAAGAGATTTCAAATCCCAGTTATTTCATAGAATCATAGAATGGTTTGGGTTGGAAGGGACCTTAAAGATCATGGAGTTCCAACCCCCTGCCCTGGGCAGGGACACCTCCCACCAGACCAGGTTGCTCCAAGCCCCATCCAGCCTGGCCTTGAACCCCTCCAGGGATGGGGCAGCCACAGCTTCTCTGGGCAACCTGTTCCAGTGTCTCACCACCCTCACAGCAAAGAGTTTCTTCCTAAAATCTAACCAAAATCTTCTCCCTTTCAGTTTGAAACCATTAGCCCTCGTCCTATCACTACATGCACTTGTACAAAGTGCCTCTCCAGCTTTCTTATATTTGCAAGAGCTGAAACCACACTTTGCAGATTCCTGTGTCTGAATATGACATCATATCAGTTTAAGTAAAGGCATGCAAGGCTGCTAGAAATGTGCTTTTTTAATTCTGGGAACTGACAGACAGAGAAAGATACATCAATAAATCATTGCAGTCTGCCTACACCACCTTTATTAAAAATTCCCAACACAACTGTACCAAAATAAAGCTGTTATGCTAAATCAGAATTATCTGGGTCCAATGGGCATAACAATTACATTCTCACCTCATTTATCAAAAACTGAGAAGCAGCAGCGTATGTAGACACCTCTCCACCCTTTTCATAAACAGAGTAAACTACTGGAGAGAATTGCATAAATGATTTCGTATCTATTAGAAGCCGAAGAACTGCTTTTAAACAAAAAGTCACTATAGTAATTTTTGACATAGTAACTGACGCGTATTTGGGGTATTCCATAAATTCATCACCAGTTGGAGCCTCAGAGCTCCAAACTCGCTCTCAGTGAAACTGGCTGCTAAGTTTTTGCAGGGTTACACAATCAGAACACAGCCCACAGAGTTCTGCCCACAATAAGAATACAGCACCGAGACAAAATATACTGTAAAACACAAATTAAAATGAGATTTTTCAGGACTCTCACACGGGAGTTAGTTTCTAACTACAGAAATCGACGAGTGAGGTTGTAGTTATTCCTTCATAAACCTACTTCCATCCCATTAATTGAAAATTTTGCACAAAATTCTTAAAAAGAAAAAAAAAGACCCCACATTTAAAATGACTGAAGATTCTTGACGCTCAGGATTACCAACAACTAATTCTGCCTTTTTAAATACAACAATAATGACAGAACCATCTTTTCAGTATCTGACAAAACCAAAGCCAAACAAGATCACCCACACCTGCTCATCTTTTCTCCACTGCCATGAAGCTCTACATCAAGATTAATGAATAGGCTTATTTGTAATAAGCTTAAGAACATAATACAGAATCAAGCTTAGTAGTAATTCTCTGGGAGCTGCATCACGTGTCCTACCATTCTAAGAGCTTCCCAGACTCTCCTTTCTCCAATAGGAGCTCCTATATGACTTAATTGGTAAAAGAGGTACAAGATGTTGCTTTTAGTACTAAGATATGAAAAGGAAGACCTCCTGTCAGTATGTAAAACACCAAGAATTTGAACTGATCCCCCAAAGACTTGCTTAGGTAGGGCTGGGAAATATTTTCCCCAGCAAAACTTACATTTCTCATTAAGTAGGCATGATTTATATTATGCAGTGTTGAAGGTGTCTTGGCAAGAGTTTAGTCCCTCTAATGGCTGGAGATCCTCTTGGGGCAGATAGGAAAGCACGCCCCTTATCTCTCCTCCAAAATACTCCTCAGTAGGCAAAATGCTTGTAGAGCTTCACGGTGCATCCCTTGGGAGGGATTAATCTTCTGGTGTGTATCTTCTGGTGGTTTAGCAGTGTGATCCAAACCATTTTATGTAAAACTGCCTTTTGGATACTTTTGCCATGCCTGCAGAAACTCCAGTGTTCAAAACACTACACCCTGAAAAGTTTCAAATTCAAGATACTTCCATGAAACTTAAAAATTTAAACTAAAGATCAGTCAGAACGGAGATGTGCTCTACAATTAGTAAAAAAATAACTAGATCCTCTGTGCCGTGTAATAACTTTACTGAACAAATAAGCTCTCAAGATGTACTTTTCATCATTTTTATATACAAAAACCATAGAAGAATAAAGCTTTAAGTAATGGTTTTACAGAATATGTTGCAATTAATCATGGCATAGTATATTCCCAGTTATTCGATACCAAGCTCACAATTCAAGAAGCATCTATCATGGGGCGTTTAAAATTGTAACATGCTCTTCTCATCTTTGCAATTACAAATGATGATTAAGATACCCCAACTCTTCACCAGCACTTAGCTTTCACCCAAAGCAAATTAATCTACAGACAAGTACTGAAATCCTGGGAGGTCTGATTTAGGGACAACATTCAGCATCGCCTCAGACATTTATTACATGATAAATTAATTTACTAAAACAGAAAGCTTCTCTTGAGTAATCTTTGGGTAACTTAAACACATTTAGTTAAGGACAACACACAAATTTAATTTATAAGGTATCTTCTCCAAACAATGAGTTTGTGCTAACATGCAGAATAACATCACTTGCAGAACTTAATTAGTGCAGCTTTTAAAGCATTTGCCATCCACATCTAGTACTTTTTTTTCTTGACTATTTGATTCAGGGGATATGGCAGTTAAAACACAATGTTAGCATTTTCAAGGCTACTTTGAAAGAAAATGCAATCATACTAATCATCATTTAGTTTTTGTACTTAATTATTTCACTGTAGTCACATTTCATTAAACCAAACATAAAGAAAGTTCAGAAAGCAAGTATGAGTGATTGTGCTTTATGAATTATTTCTCATGTGCCTCTAAAATAACCAAACCAAAACCATCCCAACCTCACAACCAAATTTAAAAATCTAGGGTAAATCTATCCAAAAGCCCAAAGCATTGATTTACCAAAACGTTAGCACAAACAAGATTTCAGAAAGATGCAAGTGTGATCACATTGTGAATTTTGACATTTTAAAGCCTTGACTTTCATTGATGTAAGGTAGTTAATTTTTATACCCCTGCCTTTTTTTTTTATATATCTCCTCCTTTTGAACACAGCAGAAATCAAATCATGAACTGTGAGTAAATGATTACCCATGCTTACTCTAAATGGCAGATAACACAAGTTACAGAAACCTGGACCAAGACTACAGTAGTTTACAAAACATAAAACAAGGTTAACAGATATGCCTTCTTTAGGATAATACATACGAAGGGTTTTAGGAACTATATAGCAATAGCTCATTTCAGACTACGCAGTGTTTTCTCCTCCCTTCCAGAGGCCTGTGAAATAAAATGGTAAACATGTTCTCTTCAATAGTCAGTTCAGTAGGAGTTTAGTTGCAAAAAGATTATAGTTGCATAAATATAAAAACACATGATAAAGCAAAATATTTTAATTAGTAAGCCAATTATAAATAAATTCACCTAAAATTAACAGAAGAAGCAGCTACGTTCTTTCTACATGGATACTTTTTTAGCATGTTTTAATAGTCAACTTCATTGTCTAGCCTGGGACAAAACAATTCATCATTGAGCACTCAACAATTCTGCACACTGAGCTAAGTCTTTTTTTTAGTTACATTTTTTACATTTTCTTTACAAATGTAATACCTTATGTACATTATATATTTTATTTCTACAATTGATGTACTTTACTGAAACTCTACAACTTTCACAGGGAATTCGCTAAAGTCTTTAGTAAATATGAATCATTCCTTTTAAAAAGAAATTCATATAAACAACCAACATACAGCACTGCCCTTTGACATGTCTGTTAAGAATTTGGATCTGGAAGGGCTACTATAATAAATGTAAAAAAAAGGCTTTATCTAATTGTACATTTTGTTAAGAAATGTCATCCCACATAGCTACGTAAATTGACCGGCTTGCAATAAACAGAGCACCATACGCCGCACAACTGGAAACGTCTATAAACCAATTTGAAGTTTACTAGTGAAACAGCTTCATCAACTCCTAGCACTTTTAGACTGAAGTAAATCTGCAAAATTCTTTTGGAAACATATACTTCTTGAGCTGTAAAGCTTCCAAGACAGTGCCGGTCACTGTATGTTGTGAAGAACGAGTATCCACTTTTGGAACTTCCCATATGCTTCTCCTGGGCCGTGCTTCCATCTGAAGTCAGATTTTTTTCTTCTGTTTAATTCCTTGTTCACTTACAAATCTGCTGTTGAATATTAAGTAAGAATTCATAATATGAGAAAGCTGCTTCTGTCCGATCCTCAATTAAATGCTGAAAAAAATCTGTTTTGGCAGGGTTCTCATCTCTGAAAGAAGAGGGGAAGATACGTTAGTCCAAACATTGAGCAAAAAATTCACTGTAAATTCAAGCAGAGGCAGAAGTTCTAATGAATTGCTTACTGTCCTTTTGAGGCTAAATACAGTCCAAAGATAATACAATTGCAAATAATACAAAGTTTAGTAAAAAAACCCAACAGTTGAAGAGCTTCAGTCCTACATTTAAATATTAGAGTAAGAAACTCATCATACTCTTTAAAAAAATGTGATCTCCATCAGGCTCAGTAACTTGAGTACTCTAGAGAAGACAAATGTAAACTCAAGTATAAGCATTTTATATTTGAGTAAGAAACTCATCATACTCTATAAAAAATGTGATCTCCATCAGGCTCAGTAACTTGAGTACTCTAGAGAAGACAAATGTAAACTCAAGTATAAGCATTTTATAGAATTTAAACTTCTTTAAGCAGGTCATGGTTTGAGAAGGCTTCAGAACTTGCCTCATATGTCATAAATCAACTGTGGTCCTTATGGAGCTCAGTAACAAATACATAAATTTATTAAGTCATCTATAGATTTTTAACCTTGTAAGCATTTTATAGAATTTAAACTTATTTAAGCAGGTCATGGCTTGAGAAGGCTTCAGAACTTGCCTCGTGTCATAAATCAACTGTGGTCCTTATGGAGCTCAGTAACAAATACATAAATTTATTAAGTCATCTATAGATTTTTAACCTTGTTTGTTTTTTTTTTTATATGTAGGTATTGACATTATAAAAGTTATAGCAGAAATTAACCTGGTTAAGCCCCCTGATCATTAGGATATACACTGCTTTAGTACATTCTTAACAATATAAAAACAAGCAACTAATTCCTACCAATAAAACTATTAGTAACTGAATTTGTACTAGTTTCAAAGATGACCTCTGCTGCTAAGGGATGTTAGATAAGAGCACAACAGCAACTGAAAAGAGGATGATAATCAGTTTCTTCTGGGTTAGATATTCCCACTTTTCATCAGTGTCAGTCAGAAACTGTAACTACAAGATGCCAATAATTACTCATTATCTAACCATATTCCCACTTTTCATCAATGTCAGTCAGAAACTAACAAGATGCCAATAATTACTCATTATCTAAGAGAAACACTTACTTTATTACTTGAAGAACAGGACTTAAAGGTCTGCTGTCGCGAAGCCAAGATATAAAAGATCGTGTCCGTTCTGAAGAAAGTGCATCTCCCTCAGGAAGCTGTGTCTGGTTGAAGGGAATTGAAAGCAGTTGTCATCTTTTACTATCAAAACTATTTTGAAAAATAGGTCCTGATAAATGTAACAGGACCCAAGCCACAATTTGTACCAAGAAATTACCAACCACCGATTACATATACATTTTTTCTTCAGCTTAAAATACAAAAATTCAGTAATATCTGTTCTGTAGGAAGCAGTACATCTTTGACAACTGCCTTCTAAGTGCAGAGAATTTTAGGAAATGAGCTCATTTAAAAAGTCATCTTTTCAAAATGCTGCTTTCGCAGTTTTCTTGCCTTTATCTTCCCCTGTCAGTCAAAATCCTACAGGTTGCATTTTGCATCACTAAAAAGATGAACAAAACATGAAGAAGTGAAATCTGAACTGTAAGCAAATTTCAACAATGATTATACCGTTTGGTTTGGGAATGAGCTGAAAAAAAACAATTAAAAAAACTTGAGTCATTCAAGGAGCTACACATGCCAATTCCTAGGCCAATATAACCATTTAAGACAATTGATATGACATAAAAGAATTGATTACAGATTTAAAAGTAGTGGCATTGCTGCCTTCACAATACATGAATGGAAGACATAATTTAAAAGCAAAGATAACTTTTGTTTATGTTAACTTTTTTCCAGTGGTTATATAGCATTAATTATAATGAAAATCAGAGGAAAAAAACCCAAACAATCATCCTTCCTTTATCCAAGTTCTTCCTGAAAACTCTCTCAACTAATACTTATCACCACCTGATCAGAGAGGACAGTTGTAATTTGCCAATACAAGCAAAATACAAAACTCTGAACAAGCAGAGATTAAAAAGAGATTAAACATAGATTCCGAATGTAAGCCATATACAGGCCAGCTCATTAAAGCACCTACCATTCTCTGTGGTACTGATGCATAGTTTGGGTATCCAAGAACATCTTTTATGAAGTTGTTATCACAGTTTTTTCCAATCCAAATGTAAAAAATCTGTAAGAGTTCAGAATCAGTTTTAATAAAGGCCTAGCATACATTTTAGAGACAAGTGGTGATGTAAGTGGAATAATACTAGAATAATACCTTTCATGCAAATGCATCACTTGAAAGCTCCAGCTGCAATTCATGTATACATCTCTACATTCATTATTTGTACGTTTGTTTATTAATACATTGGTAGCATTTGAAAAAAAAAAAATCATTAAATGCCAAAAAAGGTATAGGTAGAATGCAAATACTGAAAGAATGAGGTTGCAGGACACATCTGTATTGGAACAGTTAACGCACTAACTTCCCATGTCAGCTCCTAAAATGAAGGATCTAACATTTTATGAAGTCACACCCTAATGTATCAGTTACTGCACCGTGACTTCCCAATCTAAACAAGTCATAAAAGCATCAATTATGAAAAGACGTCATAGTAATTATTTCAGACATCTGGAGACAGAAGCTGGTTTGACATTCACACTCAGCCCCTGAAGTCATACCAGGTTTTAAAGCACTTTCTGGACTGCCATTAGAGTATCATGATGCTTTATCACCTTATTCACGTAGCATGATGCTCTATCCATTTAAATGTGTTTTAATATATTTCTATGGATACCTTAAATTGTATCTACAGATTTTGTTCACTCCTCATAATTCTCTCACTCTTTGAACTCTAAGGTCACAAAGCCACAAATCATAAAATCAGTTATATTTGTGCACAACTGAGAAGGTTCCTGCATCAGTGAGAAGTACTTTGTTAGAAAGACTGTAGCACATACAATTTAATAACCATTAGGAGAAGTTTTGGAAAGCAGAAATGCATTGTTTCCAGAAAAAAAACCCAAAGAAACCAAAAACAATTTAATGTGAACTCTTGATATATTCTGATCAGCCTAGCATGGAAAAAATTAACCTCTGAAGCCTTAAAATGCAACCTCAAAGATACTCCTCTGATCAAAATATGAAAGTCTTTTACTGGAACACAGATTACTGCCAGGTTACCTGAAATGCTGATTCACTACACTGTAATTGTTGAGAATTGACTGCTTTTGATAATTCAGCATGCCTTTTTTTTAAAAAAAAAAAAAAAAAAGGGATTGTGTGAAACTGGAAACTTACTGAACCACAATCCATAAGAAAAGCTCCTTCTCTTGTCAACTTCTCTGCAGACAACTTCTGAAGAGGTGGCTGAGGAACAACTCTGTCATTCACATGTATAGTGCTCTGTAACAAAAAACAATACTCAATACCAGTAGAATAGAAATAAATCCTATTTTTTATCTTAACCAGGTAAAATAAAACAGGAAAAAACACTGCTGATCTCTAGCAACATTTTGAGGATTCTCGTGTAACAAAATGCCATGTTAAACTCTAAAATGATTACATATATCAAACAACTCTAGAATGTTAAACTAAAGGTTACTTTATTACCTAAAAAAGAATGCCAGTTCATTTCAGTTATGCACGTAACGTTTCTCATGCTATAGATGCGAGGATTTCAAAAGAATTCTAGTGTTTACACTTAGATTTTCTACAAACAACCTCCACAGATTATTTTTTTTCAATGCATTCAACTTCACTAGAAATGTTGCAAGAGGAGAAAACCATCCAATTATTCTATTTCTGCATTCAAGTAACAAAGGTCCTTGATTTAACATCCTGCCTGAAGCTATACATGGCTTTGTCCAGAGCACTATGACTGATCTGATGAAAAATATCTGGCTGTAGCAATAACATTGATAAAAATATCCCCCGTCCCTGCCCAGCAGTAAAAAAATACCCAAACCAACAATAAAAAACTTCAAACCCCCAGTATTTTCAGATTAAGGTTGCTCCCCCTCCAATACAAAAATAGGCTGAGTATCTATTGAGAATCTGTGGAGCATTCTGCAATAAGTGTTGGGAAAAAACAGCCTAGAGACTAAGCACATCTCCACATGGTAAATGATTATTTAAAAAATAATCACTATTTAAAAAAATCCATATTACAGTGCAATAGATTAGAAGCTTTGGGGCATTTATACATAATGATGAAAACCAAGCTACTGAATTCCACTTGGGAAAGTTCCAGGCTTTACTCAATGCCCTCAAGACTTAAGTGTTAAGAGAAAAGAAAACCAGCAAAACCATTTAAAAAAATCCCTGCAATACATATATATCTCATTGAATTTTAGGAACAGCCTCTGTCACAAATACTTCTAAGAGAAAAGAAAACCAGCAAAATCCCTGCAATATATATATATATATATATCATTGAATTTTAGGAACAGCCTCTGTCACAAATACTTTAAACTGAAGTAGTACTAAAGAGCAGATTAGCACTCTGTTATACGATTTAAAATGTGGTTTGTCAATTAAGTTGAATAGGTCCAATAATCCCTACTTTCTGTATTATTCTAATAGAAATAACTGAAATCCTTTGCTAATAAAACCCATCTCCCAGAGACGCTGCTGGCTCTTTACTGCACTTGCAGAGAGAATGTAGCCTTTCAGCATAAATTCCACAAAAAACAAAGTTAGCTGAAGAAGCTGGCTTCTTAAACACTGGAGGGGGCTAGAATCCTCCACTAAATCTACTTCATCTATCACCAAAAAAAAAGTTAGCTGAAGAAGCCAGCTTCTTAAACACTGGAGGGGACTGGGGGGAGAGCACAAAAACTAATCCATTCCACTGAAGACCACTGAGTTTAGACACGAGTATGTGAGTTTATGAAATACCTTAAAAGAAAGTTTGAGACTATAAATAGCTCACAGGTTGTGCGGAACAATGCCAACTGTCAGAGAAACTACTCCAGTTACCATTTACTCTTGTATGACACTTAAAACCAAACTCCTACATATACTTTTGCAAAGCTAGTGACTAACAAGCTCGTGAAAACTTAAAAAAAACAACTAATTTTTGCAATTGCAACTAACTTTGACCTCAAAATCCTGTCTTACTTCTTACTGATAAAAAATGTATCTATTTTCTAGGCTATCTCTGTAAAAGGCAAACTAATAAAATCTGGTTACATCCATGAAGTACCTCCTTGGGCTGATCGTGACCATCTAGAAATACAATTGTTTCATCCACAGCTGTCTGAGGCACCCCTAGAAGTCTGTTATTGCAGGCATCTTTATCTGGTTTCAGCATATAAAACCTAGAATCCTCCACTAAATCTACTTCATCTATTCCCCCCCAACAGATCTAAAACACAAAACCACACTGGAAGATGTTTCCAATGCATACAATCTTCTCTGCTTTCTTTGTGTATTAGAAAAACATGGGATTATTGTGGTCAATGAAACAAGGTGAAGTAAAAACACAGTTCTGCTCATAACACACTACTGTACTTCCAATTCAAAACCTGAAATGTTTCTCTTAATTTTTTATAACCTATTGAAAAAATGAGTTTACATTACAGTAACAGCTTTAATTAAATTATTGCAGCACAACGTCAGGTTTAACAGACCATTAAACCCAGAAGATGTTATAAACCAGGCTTTTTACATTACCTCATCAATCAGCTTGTCTATTCTGTACAAGTTGGGATGAATCATTTTCATCAAATGAACCAGAGGCTGGCTCTTCATCTGGCACATCGCATACACGCGGTCGTCCAAGCGTGTGCTCATGCCTGTTCTAAATGCTTTCTGTAAGAGAACAGTGTTGGTACTCAAATCAATCCTGTATTTTATGTCAATCTAAACAGTGTATTTCAGATGTTTTGAAAGTGTCAAGCAAAGATGGTAAAGGTTTTGTAAAGAAATGCATCTTATCGAGACGCATTAGAATCTCAAACACAACTTGAATACAATACCTTTAAAAATTAATCCATTCTCCCTCTTAATTGGTGAAGGAGAATAAAAAAAAATTTCCCCAACTGTGTAAATTTGCATGTGATTGGGTCAGCATTTCCCATTTTTGTTCTTGACAAATGGTGTTGTCATGTGAAACTCACCAATGAAAGTTATTACAGGAAGATACGAGCCTAGAAGAGTTCAAAATAGATACTTTCCTGGATAAATTGAACCCCATTTTTATATTAGTAAGAATTAAATGTTAAGGCAAAGCTTTAAAGGGAGATACACTTTCATGTTTTACAGCAGAAATGAGGCTCTCATAGGATAAAATTATTTTGGTAATCTTTTCTACTGGATTTTTCAGATGTCCTTTAGAAGTGATCAGTGAACGATCACTGTTAGAAGCAACACAATGGAGGAAGCACCATATTGTGATCCAATGGAGAACATTCCCACAACAGAGCTAAGGACATCAGTCCTCTTCTCCTTGGCTACCACAAAAGTTTTGGTTTCTCTATATCCCAGTCTTTTTTACTATTAGCAAGGATAATAAAAACCCCAAATGTAAACAACTTATTTTCTCAGCCACTCTTCTACATTTTACATGGATCCTCTTGGTAATAAACGGTCTGGGTTTTATCCACCATTAACTGTATTACTTAAGTACCAAATAAGTCCTAATCAGTGTATTAGAGACTAAAGTAATCACTAAGTCAAAGAAAATAAGCTATTATTATGATTGAATTTCTTATCAAACTTGCATAAAAGGTTTATTCACAGTAAAAATACACAGAACTGTCAGACATGAAAGCCTTCGAGCTATGAGATTTATGAATAACAAAACCCTGCAGTAACTTCTCTTAAGTATGATGTTTTGCAATACAAAAATACTAAAAAAAAAATAAAAATCAAAATGTAGTAACTACTTCTATGATTATTTTTGGTAGTCTTTTCTACTGGATTTTTCAGATCTCTTTGGAAGTGATCAGTGAACGATCACTGTTAGAAGCAACACAATAGAGTAAGCACCATATTCTGATCCAATGGAGAATATTCCCACAACAGAGCTAAGGACATCAGTCCTCTTCTCCTTGGCTACCACAGAAGTTTTGGTTTCTCTATATCCCAGGCTTTTTTACTATTAGCAAGGATAATAAAAACCCCAAATGTGAACAACTTATTTTCTCAGCCACTCTTCCACCTTTTACATGGATCCTCTTGGTAATAAACAGTCTAGTTTTTATCCACCATTAACCGTATTACTTAAATACCAATAAGTCCTAATCAGTGTATTAGAGACTAAAGTAATCACTAAGCCAAAGAAAATAAGCTATTATTATGATTGAATTTCTTACCAAGCTTGCATAAAAGGTTTATTCACAATAAAAATACAAAGAACTGTCAGACATGAAAGTCTTCGAGCTATGAGATTTATGAATAACAAAACCCTGCAGTAACTTCTCTTAAGTATGATGTTTTGCAATACAAAAATACTAAAAAAAAAATAAAAATCAAAATGTAGTAACTACTTCTATATGGACTTTAAACTATATCACTTCAGTTTCTGTAACAGGTTTAATTGTATTTCCAGGGAAACTTTAAGAACAAAGAATATGCATTGAAAAATATTGTTGTCTTCATAAAATGAAATTGAAGAAGTATTAATCAGCGGTGTCCAACAATATGGGCAACACCAATTAGCTCCTGAAAATCTGGGAAATGCTAACTGTTAGAATATATATATTTTTATTTTCATTGTAAAAACAAGACAAAATATAAAAATTTGAAATCAAGTAAACGATAAACTGTTCAGGCACTAATAATTTAAAGTAATCCAACATAGAATCATAGAATCATAGAATGGTTAGGGTTGGAAGGGACCTCAAAGATCATTGAGTTCCAACCACCCTGCTATGAGCAGGGACACCTCCCACTAGAGCAGGTTGCTCAAAGCCCCATCCAGCCTGGCCTTGAACACCAAGCTTGCATAAAAGGTTTATTCACAATAAAAATACAAAGAACTGTCAGACATGAAAGTCTTCGAGCTATGAGATTTATGAATAACAAAACCCTGCAGTAAGTTCTCTTTTTAAGTACAATGTTTTGCAATACAAAATTAATCCACTAGATTATACACACCTGTTTGAGAAGGGCCAAGATGTACAGTGGAAAGAGCTTGAGGGAATTTGGTGCTATCAGCATGGACTGCTGCAGATTTGAGGCAGTTGACATGTACGCTGCCAAGGAGTCTACCACGGCATTAACTAAGGCATCTCTTGCATCCGAAAGACTAGATGACACTGAGCGATCCACAGCTGTTGGGTTAGAAGGACACAAGAGCTGAAAATCTGGGAAATGCTGTTAGAATATATATATTTTTATTTTCATTGTAAAAACAAGACAAAATATCAAAATTTGAAATCAAGTAAACGATAAACTGTTCAGGCACTAATAATTTAAAATAATCCAACATAGAATGGTTACGGTTGGAAGGGACCTCAAAAATCATCGAGTTCCAACCCCCCTGCCATGGGCAGGGACACCTCCCACTAGAGCAGGTTTCTCAAGACCCCATCCAGCCTGGCCTTGAACCCCTCCAGGGAGAAAATTCCAGGGATAACATAGTTATCTTTAACGGGATAAGCCAATTTTCATATGGAAATTGTAGACATTGCTTGACCTAGAGCTGAAGAATCCCTCAAATGGAACAATGAATTAATTGTCAAACGTTAATCCACTAGATTATACAGACCTGTTTGAGAAGGGCCAGGATATACAGTGGAAACAGCTTGAGGGAATTTGGTGCTATCAGCATGGACTGCTGCAGATTTGAGGCAGTTGACATGTACGCTGCCAAGGAGTCTACCACGGCATTAACTAAGGCATCTCTTGCATCCGAAAGACTAGATGACACTGAGCGATCCACAGCTGTTGGGTTAGAAGGACACAAGAAGTTATTAGAGTTGGCCTCATTCATTCCCTTGAATTTTGAAAAATATCAGTTGTGTTTTGGAGTGGTATTTTAAGATTTAAAAAAAAAACCAACAAACCAACCACCACAAAACATACCTGTGGTCTTAACTGTTTTTCAGAGTAACTAAGACTATTGTCCATACAGAAACTGACTAACTCACTTTCATAAGGCTCAAAAAATACAATTTTTTCTTTATTTATTATTTTTCTCCTACTCTTGGAGAATTTAAAAAATTGTTTCAAGCTGTGGTGTAGAGTCGAGACTAAATATAAATCCTGTTTTCAACCCTTATACAAATAACTTTTTGTTATTTGTATAACTAGTTTCAGCTATTGCTGAAACTCTCTGCTCTCCTACCTCCAAGATAAGATTTGCAGCAATTATTTTTGATTTTTTTTTCCCCACAAGAAATTTCTTCCATTATTTCAGTGCCATAATTATGATTAGTGTAATTATAGTTAGCGTTCCTCTGCTGAGAAAGGGCTGCAAATCCTTTGGTTGGAGGAAGCCACCTGCTGGACTGAATGTGCATTTTAGAGGAGGTCCAGAAATACTGTTTTTTTTTCTTCCAATTTATTTGACTATAAACATACAAGATAGCATATACTAAAAAGCTGCACAGAGCCATACGTGTTCACAGTAGCAGGGATCAGAATGATACAGCTATTCATGATCCACATGTAGGGGATAATTAAGAATCCTCAGACCAGCAATGACAGAATAGAAGCATAGGAAACTTAATACATATCCTGGACATACTGGTCAGAAATTCCCTTTCAGTCTTCAGCAACTCACTAAACTGAATCACTGTTTGATAAGTAATCCTAGAATGCTCAAGTTTGAGATAACAACCACAAAGAAGATCATATAAAAAATAAGTTCTGATCCAAGTGTGTTGTGATTCTTTACCCTTTAATAAACTCTAGAGAACAATGTAAGAAGGCTCTCCTTTTAAAAGGCTAAAGTCAACTAAGCATTTAGACTAAAGAATATCTCATTTGAATCTTCCTGGTCTGTACTCACCCATGTTTGCTAAGAGGCATACGACAGCTTGTACATCTGCTCCTGCATACACATCAGCCAGGGAACTCACTACAGGCAAGCAGAGCGTGTGCACTCGAATTCGACGCTCACCTAACAAAAATAAGTAGAAATCATTACACAATAGCTCCTGGTAGAGGTATATAAATTCAGTCATTACAACGTATCTAAGATGCACTCATTTTGTAATGAGTTGCTGTAATGTTATCCCTCATTTCTGTCTCTTAACCTGTACAAATTCTGCAACGCTCTAACACATTCAACTCATGAATCAGCACAAGTTCATAACAAACTAGCTTATAACATCCATAGTAAGTGTCTTGATCCTACAAATGAAGTACATTGATTTGCATCCCCAAATTTTGTGGCCTTTTCCACAATAAAAAGTAGCTGCTACTCTTTATGCCCACCCAATGTATCAGCTGCTCGCTCCAATCCATCACGGGTCTGTGATTTTGGACAAAGCACACGCCAAACATGTTATTGCTTATAACAATGGTATTTACTTTGAAGTAAAGAAATCTTGCTGAATCAACTCCACATAAGATGGAAATAAATTACATTTTCCCATCAAAATAGAGTTTATAAAGATTTATGTGATTATGTGATTAACTGTCAAGCAGACTCACTAGCTTTGATAAGATCCTCTCAGGTATACAGAAAAACAAAAGGCTGTGGAACTAACTATACAAACACCATGTTAGAAAAAGAAACGTGGAACTATACAAACACCATGTTAGAAAAAGAAACAAAAAGCCCAGTGGCAAACTCATTTCAATTTATTTACCTTTGCTGGAAGTATACAAAAGAGCTGTTTGAAAACAAACCAAAGATGTGTCAGTCAGACTTTCCTCAATGGACATTTGTACTGCAAATCCAGCATCAGGATTGACATTGGCAAGGGACAATAAATCAGTAGAGCGTACAAAAAAGTTCCCATGAAAAGTGTGTATTGAAAGACCTAGAAGCAGATGCAAAAAATTCAGTGAGGTTAAAACAGCCTGAAAAACTCCTATCAATAATTAAAACCCACAGCCCTCAAGCTATGTTTAAAGAATATTAAAAATACTTATTCTAACTATCACGCAGAATCAATTATGTGAATCATTAGACATCTCAGCATGATCCTGTAGAGTTCATGTTCAAATCTGAACACTCCAAACTGAACGGTGCCCTTACACTATACATCAACTTAGTTGAGGTGTGATGGTGCCATCTTAAGTAAAAAACAAAACAAAAAAGAACAAATGGCAAAAGCTAATGTAACCTACATAAAGAAGACAACTACCTTACTCTTCAGTGAAAGAGAAATGACCTGAAATCTTATGTTGCTAAAGATTTATGTTCAAAATTCTAGTTAACATGCTTACATCAACTCATATGATTCAGTATTTAAAATGTATATACCTTTTGTACATCTAATGCGCATAACTGCTTCAAACCCAATCTTTCTTGTAAGGTATCTTTTAAGGTCTTTTTGCAACTTTTCAGCCTGAGCAGGATTATGGCTACGATGGAAAGATGGATAGTAATAGATGCATCCGGCAGAATACTTGGACATGCAAGCTGTGAAGGAGGAAAATATATGGTTAAGAGATAAAACTGTAACATGAAGTCAGGACACAAAAATTGTCTCCAACCTTCTGCAAGTCACATCTACATTCAGCTTTTTTTTTTCCTTGATATGACCCACATCTGTAAGACAAGGAAAACCAGCCCAGACTTGGGCCACTGAAGACAGGGATGAGTCATACCAAAAACCAATTATCTAATTATATGCTTACTTCAATAAGCATGCTACCTTTGGTAGCTAAGACAGGAGCATATGCAGAAATATTAAATGGTGTCGAGGTGAAATTCAGTGTGTGCACAGAGAAAAATCTTGGTTTAATACTGAAAGATGAGAACTCTCTTCTACCCCTATGATTAAACTTTAATAATTCCTTGCCACCTGGCTGTTTCCTGTTCTTGAGCAGGAGAGTACCTTCTTATTTAAAACTGTGAAGCCCCAGAGTCAATTGTTTGACACCACCAATCCAATATTCCTGTTCTTCACTTCGATCAACTTCAAAGTCAATTCCTTTGCAGCATTAGCTGCGTTTACAAAAGTTCAAAATTATTTGCATGATTTAAGAATTCCTGAAGTAGCCTGTGCCTCTGAAGACAGACAAGAGTGTGGAAACAGTGAATGCACACATTAGGTACTCCTTACCAAGAGAAGCCAGATCAGAATATTGTGAACTTAGGAGAAATAAATCCACAGCAGTCTGCTGGCCTGAGCAGTCTAGCGCCAACTTCTTATAAAAATCTGTTGCTGGACCAAGATGCTGGACCACCTTTGGTGAATAAATTATACAGGAAAGAGTTAAAACAACAATCGTGCTCTCTTAAGACTTCATGGGACAAAAGACATGCTATTCAGTAGCAAAGTATCTGAAAACAGTCTCCTTTAAGCAATAATTTACAGGCATTTCCACCTGCAGAAATTATTTTCCTCATGCTCCATATTCTTTTAGTTTGTATTTACAAGCAGTTACGATCCTACTTTCAAGGAGTTTATGTTCCCATACAAATAAACACTCGTGTAACCATGTAACACTTACTGGATGCTGTAAACTACAAGGCTATTAAAATAATAAGAAAAAGTGTATTAGGTCTACAATTTAATATATCCACAATTTGGTTCAAAACCCAGCTTTATATTAATTGAGTCAGTGACATTTGCAGCTGCTTCTGCTCACCAAGAAAAGCTCTGGACCAGAGGCCCCAAAAATAGCTTATGCAATTTGAAACAAGTAATACCACATGTAGATGTATGAAGTAGTGATCTTAAATGCACATAGAAATTGAACAATTAAAACTCAGTTAATTGTTATCGACAAAAAATAAGAGTTGATCTGCAAAAGTATACAAGTCTGAAAAACATAGCAAGTCCCTAGTCTCATGAGATGAATATTAATGGAAATTTTTGTACCTTTGTGCTTGACCTTTGATTGGGATCTTCTCGGGAGTGCAAGAGCCCTGCTCCCAAAGATGGCAACTGGGTTTGGAACACAGATATCCGCCCACCCGTCGGAGACATCAGTTTAAAGGCAGCCTGAAGAGCAGGGCCCAACGCACTGTGTGTTTCTCTCGTATTGGTGAACATATTTGGTAATGCATTCAACAGATCCTTGATCAGCTGCAGAACAGATTGAAAGGTGTTTATGAGATTTTGCAGGCCGGAGATTTTCTGCTGTTTCTAAAAAGCTGTACTGCCATAGCTGAAGCGGAACAATCAGTACCAAATATTTCAGCTTCGTTTCAAAACACTAAGGAAAACAAAGTCATCATTTAAAAAAACCTATGACGCATCAAACAAACAGCGTGTAATACTTCTATAATTAAAAAGTAACATTAGATTTGCAAATTATGAAGATAGGCTTGAATTCAAAGTTTAAAAGGAACGTCTATTTTGAGTATTTAACTTTTTGAATTTAATGATATATTTTGAGCAATCATACCTCTTTGCTTTCATGGAGATTTACAAGTAAACTATCTGGTGTAGGTAGGAAAATATCTGCAGGGAGAATGGAAAAAAAGCATTTTATTTAAAGAAAAAAATAACATTAAAATGAGAACAAAACATTTCACTGCCCACTGTTATACATGCCATGAAAGTCTACTTTTTGGAGACATATATTAGAGAGAAAAATAATACAGCCCCTACCAAGACTGTTTTATTCAAATCAAGATTAACATTTGAATGTCACTTTTTAAACACCACCTGCTCTGTAGTTAGTGTAAGATTGTTTTTAAAAGTATGTCCTCTATACATTCAATAAAATTGACATACCAAAATATTTGAGATTTTTTTTTCCCAGAAGAAATATTAGAAAGTAGCTTCTCAAAAATTTGGTTTCCATTTTCTTTTTACTTACCATCAATATCTGAGACAATCAGCATCTGAGGCTGAGATAGACCTTCTTGCAAGTTGTAAAACTGAACAGTGCTGTCAAACGTTATGAACCCTATTCTTGTTCTTGAGTCTCCAGGCAGCCTGAAGCATTAAAAAAAATAAACTAGTAAGACCTAAATTTCTCTCTCAAGACACAAACATACACACAGCTCTTGCTGATGTTAGCACATACTTAGCTCATGTATACAAGAGGTGAAGGGAGAACAAAATAAAGGCAAGATCTGAAACATGAATACAAGTAATATTTCTTCAGTGTTTCCTGAAAAGTTGGGATAATGACACAATTTACAAGACTAAGTGTTACAGATAATCACTCACTAATATATTGATGTTTTGCTTCAAGAGAGAACTTAGCAGGTTCATTTAAACATTACACTGACAAATGAAAGAAGGCAGCCTTCTCAGTTTTTAAATATAAAGTTCTGCTCCTTCCTAATTCAAAAAACCCACTCAATAACGTGGTTACAGAGAACTTGCAGCTCTAAACCAAAATCCAATGTCTCTACAATGCAACATATTTATTTCTCATGTGGACCATATTCCTATGTATGACATTACAAATACAAAAAAGAAAACCTAAAATGAAACATAAAACATCACTAAGTGCTGAAAACCCTCATGGTGAACAAAACCAATAGAGGCAAATATTGTTTTCACCATCTGGGTATATAAACTAACAGGATGTACTGGTTTTACCATAGACTTTGCATGGGATGAGTTTTCCTAAAATAATTTAGCATGCTTCTGAGAATCCGTTAAGAAAATACCTGTAAAGATTTAAACGAAGAAAGACTAAAACGATAAACGTGAGTGAAGAATTTTATTGTAGATGTTGATGACTTAATCAGAATTTAAAATAAAGTTCCCTAAGAAAAACTTGCAGAAAACAATTTTCAGGGTCAGGCCTCCATAGGATGACATGTAGATGTATGAAGTAGTGATCTTAAATGCACATAGAAATTGAACAATTAAAACTCAGTTAATTGTTATCGACAAAAAATAAGAGTTGATCTGCAAAAGTATACAAGTCTGAAAAACATAGCAAGTCCCTAGTCTCATGAGATGAATATTAATGGAAATTTTTGTACCTTTGTGCTTGACCTTTGATTGGGATCTTCTCGGGAGTGCAAGAGCCCTGCTCCCAAAGATGGCAACTGGGTTTGAAACACAGATATCCGGCCTCCCGTCGGAGACATCAGTTTAAAGGCAGCCTGAAGAGCAGGGCCCAACGCACTGTGTGTTTCTCTCGTATTGGTGAACATATTTGGTAATGCATTCAACAGATCCTTGATCAGCTGCAGAACAGATTGAAAGGTGTTTATGAGATTTTGCAGGCTGGAGATTTTCTGCTGTTTCTAAAAAGCTGTACTGCCATAGCTGAAGCGGAACAATCAGTACCAAATATTTCAGCTTCGTTTCAAAACACTAAGGAAAACAAAGTCATCATTTAAAAAAACCTATGACGCATCAAACAAACAGCGTGTAATACTTCTATAATTAAAAAGTAACATTAGATTTGCAAATTATGAAGATAGGCTTGAATTCAAAGTTTAAAAGGAACGTCTATTTTGAGTATTTAACTTTTTGAATTTAATGATATATTTTGAGCAATCATACCTCTTTGCTTTCATGGAGATTTACAAGTAAACTATCTGGTGTAGGTAGGAAAATATCTGCAGGGAGAACGGAAAAAAAGCATTTTATTTAAAGAAAAAAATAACATTAAAATGAGAACAAAACATTTCACTGCCCACTGTTATACATGCCATGAAAGTCTACTTTTTGGAGACATATATTAGAGAGAAAAATAATACAGCCCCTACCAAGACTGTTTTATTCAAATCAAGATTAACATTTGAATGTCACTTTTTAAACACCACCTGCTCTGTAGTTAGTGTAAGATTGTTTTTAAAAGTATGTCCTCTATACATTCAATAAAATTGACATACCAAAATATTTGAGATTTTTTTTTCCCAGAAGAAATATTAGAAAGTAGCTTCTCAAAAATTTGGTTTCCATTTTCTTTTTACTTACCATCAATATCTGAGACAATCAGCATCTGAGGCTGAGATAGACCTTCTTGCAAGTTGTAAAACTGAACAGTGCTGTCAAACGTTATGAACCCTATTCTTGTTCTTGAGTCTCCAGGCAGCCTGAAGCATTAAAAAAAATAAACTAGTAAGACCTAAATTTCTCTCTCAAGACACAAACATACACACAGCTCTTGCTGATGTTAGCACATACTTAGCTCATGTATACAAGAGGTGAAGGGAGAACAAAATAAAGGCAAGATCTGAAACATGAATACAAGTAATATTTCTTCAGTGTTTCCTGAAAAGTTGGGATAATGACACAATTTACAAGACTAAGTGTTACAGATAATCACTCACTAATATATTGATGTTTTGCTTCAAGAGAGAACTTAGCAGGTTCATTTAAACATTACACTGACAAATGAAAGAAGGCAGCCTTCTCAGTTTTTAAATATAAAGTTCTGCTCCTTCCTAATGCAAAAAACCCACTCAATAATGTAGTTACAGAGAACTTGCAGCTCTAAACCAAAATCCAATGTCTCTACAATGCAACATATTTATTTCTCATGTGGACCACATTCTTACGTATGACATTAAAAATACAAAAAAGGAAACCTCAAATGAAACATCAAACATCACCAAGTGCTGAAAACCCTGATGGTGAACAAAACCAAGGCAAATATTGTTTTCACCATCTGGGTATATAAACTAACAGGATGTACTGATTTTCCCATAAATTTTGCATGGGATGAGTTGTCCTAAAATAATTTAGCATGCTTCTGAGAACCTGTTAAGAAAATACCTGTAAAGATTTAAACGAAGAAAGACTAAAACGATAAATGTGAGTGAAGAATTTTATTGTAGACATTGATGACTTAATCAGAATTTAAAATAAAGTTCCCTAAGAGAAACTTGCAGAAAACAACTTTCAGAGTGAGGATGCAAATTAGTTTTCAAAACACACGAATATAGTGAAGTTTAACGTAGTGAAGTTTAACCAACGATCCAGTCCGTGCTGTCCCAATGCAAAAATGAGAAGAGAAAGAACACAGCACAGGTAGATGTAAGTAACTGTGATCTGGAAAAAAAACCACTGAACTGACAACAAAATTCCCCGAGACAGTCTCCCATCAGTGGTTACAACACTCCAGTA